GTACCCAAGAGAGTAGAAAAGTATTAAACATGTTGAATACCCTACCTGAGAACACTATCAATACCCAGTGTGAATGATAACTAGGGGTGACTATTGGTCTGGAAATCACTATTGCGATAACTATTGATATTGCAAGCAACTATTTGCAATAAATATTGATAGTTTTCAGTGTATCTTTTTAGATGGATTTTAGAGTTGAATTAAACCTTGGAACTGAAGTTTCCTTTGAATAACCATAACAACAAATAAAAAGTAAAGTTTGAGATATGACTGATTTGTTTCTTCTTTACCCTTATAATTTAAGAAAAAGAAACTACCACATTACCACGTGTAAATTACTACCACTCATGATCGAAAGAAAAACAAATTTGAACAGCATTGCATGTATTTTATTGATATGGTAAATACAATCAAAACTATCAATATTCCTAACTGAAACCGATACTACTGATCGGAAACTGATTTAACAATCGACTTATTGACTTTAAGTGCTAACCAATAGCAATATATCAATAGTTTGATTTATCGTGACACCCCTAATGATGACATGTGAGTTAGTATTTGAAGGCTCAAAACATTATCTGGAGCCCTGAAGTGTGTTGAGCAGTAAACAATGTGATTATTGGGGATCCATATTTTGGGGATGTCTGCACAATTGGAGTTACCATGGTTACTGATTATCCATGCAGAATCATAGCTTCATAAACTTGATAGACATGGTCTTATGAAATATCACAATTTTGGGATACATTTTGTCATAACGATGCATATTTTGCCTGAACAAAAAACACGTATTAACAGTTGTAAAAGGTTGAGAGAGTTTAAGCTAAGTTTCTCATGTGCATTTAATATATATATGGCTCAGGTTTTTCAGTTAATGCATTGAAGACAGATTTTATCCGTAATTCCTCTTGGCTTGTTGGTTATTCGGTAATTATTAACCTAATAGTCAGGAATTGAAGTACGGAGTTCACTTCACCCTCCTGGAAACATGGCCACGATGGTGAACACTGGCAAGGATTTGCAAGATCCCTTACTGGGCACATCAGGAAGCAAAATGTGGCTGTATAATTGTGTTAGCATGATTAGACAATTAGAACAAGCCTAAGTTAACTGGTCACGTGAATTAAACTTTTACCTGATATGAAAACAGCCTGTTGTTAGCTGGAACACATAGAACATGGAGAATTTCTCGCAAAAAATGCACAGATTAAGTTTTACAGTACATATTGGGTAGAGTTGGGTATGGCCTGGTATCTTGCAATATAATAGGTATCACAATACACCAACAAATTGGAAAAAATGATGAAATTACTGAAATATAACTCTAAAACGTCTTGATTTCATACATTTACTTATTATCATCTCAAAAACAAAAACTTCTTAAGAAAAGTCAGAGCTCCAGATAAGCTTTTGGTGTTGTGGGTATTTTACCCATGCATTTTAAAATCACTGGGTATCAGTAATTCTATCTGGGTATTCAAATTTCTGTTACCCACTAGTTTTTACACATGTGGGTATTTAAGTTAAACATACACTATAAATACACTATTCATCTAGTCCCTGCAAACTGGTGTCGTGTGGGTTCGAGAGCTTTATAGGACTCAAAAATACCACGATACTTCCACAAGAAAGTGTGATGGCAAATGATCGTGATGTAACTGTCATCGTGGAGTTTGGCAAGGTTGATGGAATGCCCGTTTATAATTTCAAAATAAGTTGTTGATTTGCTAATCGAATACGCAAGGGTTACTTCACAATATTTTGATGATAGGCACAAGTTTTATTTTTGTAGCTTATCTGTAATGTTCGTTGCGTATTTGATACGCTTGGATTTTATTTTACTGTGTATTTCTGCATTTTTGATGCGTATTTTACACAGCTTATCTGGAGCTCCGAAAGTAATAAGAACAAAACAGTTTTATATGAAAGAATGGTTATGAAATGTAATAGTTTATAGCAGGCACATCCTCTATCAACTCTCTTGTTCTGCCATGCTCACAAGTTGTGTCTGCTCGTCATGCCGAAGACCTGGTTTCATACTCCCACATGGGTACAGTATGTGAAGCCCATTTCTAGTGTCCCCCGCGGTGATATTGCTGGAATATTGCTAAAAGCGGCGTAAAACCATACTCACTTACAAGTTGCGCTATTCTACTTCTGCCATTACGGGAGGTAACTCTATCAGTTCTATCTGTTCTATTTATGGCGTATCATGATCTCACATACTGACGATCAAGTATCGTCTGTACATTAGTAAGAATGAAATCGTAGGTATCGGTGAATCATTACAGCCCTAATATCAGCTATCAGCATGTCTGTCTGTTTGTCCTCCGTCTGTTTGTTTTCCGTTTGCAGAGCAGAACTTCAAAACTGTTAAATATTTCTTGATGAAACTTTCTATACAGATCAGTCTAGTGCTGAACTGGTGACTTTTGATGATTTGGGATATTGAAAAATAGTGAGCAGCATATTATGTTTTTACTGAACTGAAGGTATCCAATGGTAATAAACCAAATCAGGGGTATAAGTACCCATTTCCAAATTGCACCAAGTGGGGGTTATGTCATCATCTCCTGATGACTCTTGTTTTCAAAGAACTTGCCAGATGTTTCCTGCATGGAATGAATAAATAATCACATTGTTATTGTAATAATATGAATAATACATGTATAGGAAAGAGGCAGATGCTCATGTTACATCCATTGTGTCAGGACGTCATAATATTCCAGAGTGATTATATCTTGTGAGAGTTCACATAAGAGAGCCAGAGTGTTGTGGAATATGAGTGGTACCGTTTGTAATTTCTGGAATTTTTCTAGGATTCAAAACAAAGTGCCCTTGCCGGGTAGATTGGAAAATGTTTGTTTTTTTTGTTTTGGTTTTTTATTTGGTTCATAATTCAGATTTTTTCAGTACTTTTTTTCAAAGGTATTTTAGAATTACCATGAAACAGTGATGTAAAGTTAAGCCTGTTTCTCTGTTTTAGTCCTATTATCAGTGGGATACAAGTCACCTTGACCAAGCGACCCGTGAAGATCCGGGGTAGAATATGTCTTCAGCTTCCAATGCTGGCAGTAAAAGGCGACCAACGGAATCGGGTGGTCAGGCTCACTGACTTGGTGGATGCATGTCATCGATCCCAATTGCGTGGATCGATGCTCATAATATCAATCACTTGATTGTCTGGTCCAGACTCGATTATTAACAGATTGTGGTCATATAGCTGGAATATTGCTGAGTGCAGCATAAAACAAACAAACAAACAAACCTTGACCAAGCCATCACATTAGTTAGATATATACATGATAGCGACATTTTTATTCCTGTTTGGGAATTTATTGTAGCAAATGCTGTAGATTTGGGTCGGAATATCAGTCTCTGATCAGATCTAGATAAATCTCTGATTGTACAATGTCCAAAAGCAGTATGTGATATCAGGACTGCGGGTGTTTACTAGACTGTCTACTAGACTGTCTACTAGAAAAAGATGTTTTCATGTCCTCGACAAGTCTCATGCATCTCTTTACATGCTCTCTCATATGAATATTTGTATGTATGAAAATATGCTTATGTATGTTATATAGAATACTAAACGAACTCCTGTGTAATACTATTTGTATACTGTGTTTATTGATAAGATGACACCTTGTGCTGATGTCACCAAAATTTCCTTGTGATAATAAAGTGTTATCTTATCTCATTACAGCTGTTTACATACTGTCAGTGTCAGATAATGCTTGCAAGTCAAGCAGCATATGTACCCTGTGTTTCCCTTGTCAAACCCATTCTTTATCTGTCAATTCTACAATTCCGTGATCATAGAAAGATTTTGTAGAAAATGTGACTTACTGCAGAATTGCAGAAAAATGGGGAATTTGCCTTTATTATCCATCAATTCACTAATTTCCAAGCTTTTCTCATCAAATTTTGCACTTGCATGATGCCTAAACTTTTAATATTGAACAGACCCAAAAGATTGGAATCCTACAATAAAACGAAAATTTAAAATAAATATATCTCACTTTTAAACATTCTTGTGGTGTTATGACGACATAATGGTGACATGTTAAACCCAAACTGGAATGTCTCAATGCAAGAGACTAATATTTTAAAGAACAAAAATGAGTTTTTTATATTTTGAGGGGGAAATGTTTATGTTTTGTTATGCTACATGGTGTTTCCAGTCAAGTACTGGCTAATGTGTTTACGACAGGGGAACAAAGTCATTAGGCTACATGGTGTTCCCAGTTGTATCGGGGGTGTCATGGATCAAGGCGAGTCAAGTACTGGCTAATGTGGTTAGGACAGGGGAACAAAGTCATTAGGCTACATGGTGTTCCCAGTTGTATCGGGGGTGACAAGGATCAAGGCGAGTCAAGTACTGGCTAATGTGGTTGGGGCAGGGGAACAAAGTCATTAGGCTACATGGTGTTCCCAGTTGTATCGGGGGTGTCATGGATCAAGGCGAGTCAAGTACTGGCTAATGTGGTTGGGGCAGGGGAACAAAGTCGTTATGCTACATGGTGTTCCCAGTTGTATCGGGGGTGTCATGGATCAAGGCGAGTCAAGTACTGGCCAATGTGTTTACGACAGGAAAACAAAGTCGTTATGCTACATGGTGTTCCCAGTTGTATCGGGGGTGTCATGGATCAAGGCGAGTCAAGTACTGGCCAATGTGTTTACGACAGGGGAACAAAGTCATTAGGCTACATGGTGTTCCCAGTTGTATCGGGGGTGTCATGGATCAAGGCGAGTCAAGTACTGGCTAATGTGGTTAGGAGAGGGGAACAAAGTCGTTATGCTACATGGTGTTCCCAGTTGTATCGGGGGTGTCATGGATCAAGGCGAGTCAAGTACTGGCTAATGTGGTTAGGAGAGGGGAACATAGTCGTTAGGCTTCATGGTGTACACACATTACTCTGTTGTTCCTTCAACAAGTTCCAGTGCAAGATCTGTCAATTGTAACATGATATGAATAATTGATTTGTCTTTTGCAGCCGTCCTAAAGTGGTGACCTTGACCTCACCATGGCAGCCTTTACAGCACTAATGGACAAATATAAATCGGCCACAACCGATCTCAGAGGTGAGAACATCATGGCTTAAACATATAGAGGAGAGGATATTTAGTGGTGGTTAAAAAATATGCTCAGTGCTCAACATGCAAGAGTTTTGACAATAGTATAGCCGACCTACTTGTAGATAACCATTTGCCCTATGTGATCTATGGCATGGGGTGGTTGGTGGTGTTCACTGATAACATATAGTTTTTAATATTGCTAACAAAAAGCTATAAACCAAAGTCCTTCATTCATTAATAGGAATTTCATATCTCAATATCCTGCAAAGTTTGTAGCAAAGAATCTAAAATGATGAAGGATGTGTCTCAAATTTATATTACTTACTGTACTATATGCAAAGTAGCAATTGCTTAAAGAACTCCTTCCATGTAATAATACAGTCTTATTGAATTATTTACCGTGTTTATCATGTTTATCATGTTAACTGACAGTTGATCCACAGAACGGGGGCACAGGTGGCCCAGTCGTCTAAGGCGCCGCGATTTGCTGAACAGAGTTGTGTCCCTTGGGCACGCCAGAAACCTATGATTGTGGGTTCGAATCCCGGTTCCCCTGATTATGTTTCTAGGTTTGTCCGCACCATACCCGTGCTCGTGGGTTTCACCGAAGTGGTAAACGCCTGAGACCTGCATCACTTCGGGCTTTCCTCCCACATTAAGCTGACATGCCTTGATATAACAGGAATACTGTTAAAAAGGGCATTAAACCCAACTTACTCACTCACTGATTGACAGAACTCATATAAGTCTGATTAAGAGTTACTGTAGTAGATGATAACCACTGATATCTATGCTGTAGTAGATGATAACCTCTGATATCTATGCTGTAGTAGATGATAAACACTGATATCTATACTGTAGAAGATGATAACCACTGATATCTATGCTGTAGTAGATGATAACCACTGATATCTATACTGTAGTAGATGATAACCACTGATATTTATACTGTAGTAGATGATAACCACTGATATCTATGCTGTAGTAGACGGTAAACACTGATATCTATACTGTAGTAGATGATAACCACTGATATCTATGCTGTAGTAGACGATAAACACTGATATCTATACTGTAGAAGATAACCACTGATATCTATGCTGTAGTAGATGATAACCACTGATATCTATGCTGTAGTAGATGATAACCACTGATATCTATGCTGTAGTAGATGATAACCACTGATATCTGTGCTGTAGCAGATGATAACCACTGATATTTATACTGTAGTAGATGATAACCACTGATGTTATGCTGTAGTAGATGATAACCACTGATATCTGTACTGTAGTAGATGATAACCACTGATATTTAGACTGTAGTAGATGATTACCACTGATATTTATACTGTAGTAGACGATAACCACTGATTTTTATACTGTAGTAGATGATAACCACTGATATCTATGCTGTAGTAGATGATAACCACTGATATTTATACTGTAGTAGATGATAACCCCTGATGTTATGCTGTAGTAGATGATAACCACTGATATTTATACTGTAGTAGATAACCACTGATATCTATGCTGTAGTAGATGATAACCACTGATATCTATGATGCAGTAGACGATAACCACTGATATCTATACTGTAGTAGATGATAACTACTGATATTCATGCTGTAGTAGATGATAACCACTGATATATATGCTGTAGTAGAGGATAACCACTGATATCTATGCTGTAGTAGATGATAATCACTGATATCTGTGCTGTAGCAGATGATAACCACTGATATTTATACTGTAGTAGATGATAACCACTGATGTTATGCTGTAGTAGATGATAACCACTGATATCTATACTGTAGTAGATGATAACCACTGATATTTATACTGTAGTAGATGATTACCACTGATATTTATACTGTAGTAGACGATAACCACTGATTTTTATACTGTAGTAGATGATAACCACTGATATCTATGCTGTAGTAGATAACCACTGATATTTATACTGTAGTAGATGATAACCCCTGATGTTATGCTGTAGTAGATGATAACCACTGATATTTATACTGTAGTAGATAACCACTGATATCTATGCTGTAGTAGATGATAACCACTGATATCTATGCTGTAGTAGATGATAACCACTGATATCTATGCTGTAGTAGATGATAACCACTGATATTTATACTGTAGTAGATGATAACCACTGATGTCTATACTGTAGTAGACTATAACCACTGATATTTATGCTGTAGTAGACGATAACCACTGATATCTATGCTGTAGTAGATGATAACCACTGATGTTATGCTGTTTGTAGATGGTAATTATGGTTACTGATATGTTATGTAGACCTCCGGACTGATGGATGGTTTCTGATGGAGTCTGTGTGGCCGACAGTGGCTACAGTTTTGGTGTATCTTGTCATTGTCGCCTGGGGTCCCCGATTGATGTCCAATCGACCAGCCTTCCAGCTCAACAACGTCCTTGTCGCATACAACTTCTGTCTCATGCTGCTATCAATGTACATGGTCTTTGAGGTAATCCACCCTTGTTTCGTTAATGTTGTACTCTGCATTACATTTATCAGGTATATGGGTTGCCTAGCCGTCTAAGGATGTGCCGAGTTGCAGCCCTTAGCTGTGTCAGGATCCAATGATCACAAGTTTGAATCCCAGATTCACTTCCATTATGGTGATTTATGATCCTTGGTCACATCCATGCTCATGGCTTCAAGTGGTAAACATCTTGGCCACACTTGGTGTCCTCCCACATTAAGCTGACACACTGTGATGTCACTGAGCTATTTCTCAAAGCAGGATTAAGCCCAACCCAAATAGATCCAGCATCCCTGATACCAGTAAGTCCACCATACTCAACAATGGCTGGACCCTCTTCCACAAAGCAACTTTGGCGCAAGGACGGTTTTAACTCCCATACTTCAACCTTGACCTACAACAGTCCCAACCTGTAGGTTGCTTTGTGAAACAGGGCCCTGGCCCTAAATGTCTAATTCGGTAATAAGCTAGGGCTAACAGACTAAAATAATTCAACATGATCAAGTAAAGTCAGAAAGTCAGCTGTTATCTTCAATGTGAGCCAAAGACTTATTATTCTACCTTTAACATCATTATGGTTGATTTACCTTAATAGGTAGAGATGTTAGACTGAAATACGTTTTTCTAGGCACAAGTTTCACCAACTAAGCACCTAACATGCTCATCTCATGCCATTTTGTATTGCTGTCCACTTCAGTTTGTGGTCTCTGCATGGCTGCGTCCAGGGTTCAGTCTGGCCTGTCAAGCTGTGGACTATTCCAGTGATCCCATGTCAGTCAGGGTGAGTTGCCACTACTTACTCTTCAGATACACAACAAATGTTGCAATTGGAAAGCCCTCTCTGCGACACTGACTATAGATATTTCCTTCATAAAACATGGTGCCTACCGCACAAACTGGTACTATTTACAAAACAGTAGTTTTATTGTTACACTGTACTGACGAAACAAGATGGAGGGGTGATATTTTGTTTATCAATGCATGATTTGTGCTGTTTTATCATTGACTGAGTATGTGCTGTGTTTCAGCTGGCGCATGTGTGTTGGTGGTTTTACTTCTCCAAGCTTATAGAGCTACTAGATACCGTGAGTACTTACTGTTGTTCTTGTATTTGGGCGACATGCCTAGTTTTTAACTACTAAAAACTGGATGACACTGGTTTGTCCGGCCAATGAAATTATTAACAGAAAGTCAACATTAGCCTGTCAGAAAATAGCTTTCTCAAGCTTTACGAACCTAGTTTCAAAAAGGAGACTTCCATTCCAGACTATGCTTTGAGAAATATTTTGACAAAGTTTTTGATTCAAATTGTGTGATTTCTGCAGGTGTTCTTTGTTCTGCGGAAGAAAGGTAGCCAGATCTCATTCCTCCATGTGTACCATCACTCTACAATGCCCATACTCTGGTGGGCAGGGGTCAAATTCGTCGCAGGAGGTGAAGGTCAGTGTCACAATGTCAATGCCAAACAATGGATATTTTATGTGATCTCTTAAGCTAAATTATGTGTCAGCATTCACAGTAAACTGTTTGTGGTTACAAGAAACATTTTGATCATTTTGGTCATCAGTAACATTCTTTCATTTGGATTTTGAACCTTTTTATTCTCTGAAATGGTAAAACGATGATGAGTGTAATGAAAATTTGTGTGTGTTGCAGGTTACTTCTCCGCCAGCATCAACAGCTTCGTCCACGTCCTGATGTACCTGTACTACCTCCTGTCTGCGATGGGGCCCAGCATGAGGAAGTACCTCTGGTGGAAGAAGTACATGACCTCCATACAGCTGGTGAGTAGTCACAGCCGACACCTGGCGTTAGGGGAGTCTGGCCATTTGATACTCTGCTTGGTAGTCACAGCCGACACCTGGTGGTAGGGGAGTCTGGCCATTTGATACTCTGCTTGGTAGTCACAGCCGACACCTGGTGTTAGGGGAGTCTGGCCATTTGATACTCTGCTTGGTAGTCACAACCGACACCTGGCGTTAGGGGAGTCTGGCCATTTGATACTCTGCTTGGTAGTCACAGCCGACACCTGGTGTTAGGGGAGTCTGGCCATTTGATACTCTGCTTGGTAGTCACAACCGACACCTGGCGTTAGGGGAGTCTGGCCATTTGATACTCTGCTTAGTAGTCACAGCCGACACCTGGTGGTAGGGTAGTCTGGCCATTTGATACTCTGCTTAGTAGTCACAACCGACACCTGGCGTTAGGGGAATCTGGCCATTTGATACTCTGCTTAGTAGTCACAACCGACACCTGGTGTTAAGGCGAGTCTGGCCATTTGATACTCTGCTTAGTAGTCACAACCGTCACCTGGTGGTTGGGGAGTCTGGCCATTTGATACTCAGCTTAGTAGTCACAACCGATATCTGGTGGTTGGGGAGTCTGGCCATTTGATACTCTGCTTAGTAGTCACAACCGACACCTGGTGTTAAGGGAGTCTGGCCATTTGATGCTCTGCTTAGTAGTCACAACCGACACCTGGTGGTTGGGAAATCTGGCCATTTGATACTCTGCTTAGTAGTCACAACCGACACCTGGTGTTAAGGCGAGTCTGGCCATTTGATACTCAGCTTAGTAGTCACAACCGACACCTAGCGTTAGGGGAGTCTGGCCATTTGATACTCTGCTTAGTAGTCACAACCGACTCCTGGTGGTTGGGGAGTCTGGCCATTTGATGCTCTGCTTAGTAGTCACAACCGACACCTGGTGTTAAGGCGAGTCTTGCCATTTGATAGTCTACTGGGTTGTAGTCAAGATTGACACCTGGTGTTGAGGCAAGTCTGGCCATTTGATACTCTGTTTGGTAGTCACGAGATGAGAGAAACTTGACATTTCACTCGACACTGGAAATTTTTACCTTGGATATTACTTCCCCTGGGAAGAATCTGGAGGGTGGATAAATACCCTGTTACATGCTTCTCCTCCTCCTCCCACAGGTGCAGTTCTGGGCCATCCTCATCCACACCAGCTACTCCATTTACCTGAACTGCGGCTACCCCCTTGGCTACAACATCGGCTTCCTCTCCTACATGATCTCACACATCGTCCTGTTCTCCAACTTCTACTACCAGGCCTACATCAACAAGTCCCATCATTCTGCCCCACTGAAGAACGGTAGCGCCAAGACCAAGCACCAGAACGGAGTCATGAACGGCACCGTTAAAAGCGGAGTCACAAACGGCAAACTGCGGAAGCGGATAGAATGATGAAGGGCCAGAGTAGTTCTTAGTGATGTTTGTGTAACTGAATATCAGATATAACTGACTGACACTCATGTCAACTGACAATCATCATGCCAATAGTGCTTACAACATTCATTATACATCACTGGTCAGGGCTGCTAGACATGTCAACAGGCCCCTACCAAGCTCACCTCCTCCAGTGAAGTAGTCTGACAATGTACTTGTTTCACATGCAGTCTGGGCTCAATATTACTTCCTCCTCCAAGTGTTCTCACACAGATTGGGACATACTTTATTCAGCATTCAGCATAACATACCCGTGACGGTGTTATCAGTGTACCCACTGCCTTCACGTTATACGATGATCCTACTGCAGGGAGTTTTTTAAGGGTTTACTTTGTGTCCATGACGCACCTCACCATGAACCTGGCAGTGCCGGCTATACAGGGAATATATGTATGTTGTGCCTGCCACTGATAATGTCCTGTAGATGGGTGTGTGGTATGACTTATGGTGCTCACACTTAGTGTCAGTACATGGAATCTGTGGGTGGATGATATGTATATTACACAAACACATTGTTATGTACATGGAAATTGGTGGGTAGATATTATTTTTATTACACACACCTATTGTTACAGGCATGGAATGGGTGGGTGGGTGACACACATACACATATATTATACACATACACGCACATGCTCAGGACACACACCACACCACACCACACCACACCACACCACACCACACGTGCATGTGGAGAGGTAAGGAAATATTGGTTCCATTATCATATAGGGTGATGTTCGCCAGTGGTGACTTACTACCTGTATATTGCACCAGCCAATGATATGAACATGTCACTGTGGTATGGGGAGAACACTGCACTTCATCTTTGTAAAGACATGAGCTTTGGTGCAGTTATTGTTGATATTTGCCACTCAACATTCAATTCTGTTTGTTAATTTATTGTAAATATCCCCATCTGCACTTTCATATTTTCATGAAAATAGCCCATCAATGCAATGAGATACATAGTATAGATAAGTTTATGAGTTTATGTCATAATGGTGATTATTGAGCTGGTTTAATCAATTTGCTGTTATTATTATTGTTTAATTATTGCAATAATTCTGCTGGAAATTATAGCTGGTTTTCGTTATTCCCTCATTTATTGATGATGCTGTAGAATGTAGTGTCTTAGAACAATCAAACCTTAACTAAGTCAAAACTATTGTTGTTCCTGAGCTTATATTGTCATGTACAGAGACTGATTCTGTGTAAAAGCTTGCCAATTGTGTGCATGTTATCAGCAATAAGTATTTAACTACACAACGATGACTCACCCAACTCCAGTACACTAAATTTGTTGTGTTCTACCATTCCAAACATATTGGTGGTTTTATTTTATTTTGTTCATACATAATTGAGTTGTTACCATGGTTACATTGACTTTTTCTGTCTGCAACAGGGTGTGGTTGGGGACTACCTCGCTGTTACGGCATATGATATGGGATATATGTCGACATCAGTCATTTGATATACCAATGTACATGATGTCCTTGGGGGATATTTAGATATATCCCTGCATATATGAGGATGGTTAAAAATACACCTTTTTGACAACTATTAAGATTTGTTAATCTGTGTTTTTAATTTCTTTTTGTTACATAAATGAAAGGGACATACACAAACTCAGGCCAGGCAACAAGGGATGCCCACTCTTATGTGTGTCCCGTTTTATGTCAACCAATCACAGGAAAAAGGTTAGAATGAGAATGATGAGATAAGGTCAAGGTTACAGATAGTCAAGAACAAGGTCAAGGTCAGGGTTAGAAAAGTTCAAGTTCACCTTTTGTGACCTTCAGTATGTAAATGTGTCCTACTGTAGCAACATTTGACTGGTGTTACTAGCTGCAGTCACACCTGTGTCAGTGTAACATGTAAACTTAGAGCTACCTCGAGTCCGCAGATGTCACTCAGGGTGGCCATTGTTAGCAACATCGGGTCATATGTGGGCGATAGTAATGAGTGGTTGTTATTTTGATTGTTAACAGTTTTGTGCATCACCATGTAGTACAAATTATTAGAATTCTATTTTACATTTTATTCCTCATGATATTACAATCAAATGTCTTTTCAACCTTTTTATGCACTTTTATATCACAATCACTGAGATTTATCTTGTTTTTATTTGCATTTCTTTTATTTTCATACTACTCAGATGGTTTGTTTGTTGTACAACTGCCAATGTTTAATAATAACAGTTGTTTTGTACCAGTGAACAATCAAAATTCTAGAGGTTGTTGTGAAATGCATATATTCTGTTTCATTATTGGCATATTTTGTATTGCATAATTGATGAGATTGAACTGAGAAAAGTACCGGTAATTTATGACTGCTTGCAATCAGTGGCATAACAACCCTGTTGTGTAGAGACTGTATTTATTTATGAAGTTAATTTCAGCTTGAGAACAAAATGTCTGTTTTAGCCAGATGTGCGCTACATGTATACAACCATGTTGTTGGTCTGTCCACAGTATATATGCAGCCAACAAGAGTCGGTGTGTGTGTGTGTTAGAATGAGAACAGTATATTATTTATATTTTTCCTTCCCACCGAGCTAATTTCAGAAATGAAAATATCTTCCAAGTTGGTCTGTAGAGCATGTGATTTGATAAGTTTTAGTGGATGAAGATGTAGGGTGTGGATCATGGAGACAAATTCAGACTTACAATATTCTCTATCTTTGCCTAATAGTATATCATCATGGGAACTGGGAAGGTAGATGAAGATAGCATTGGAGAGAACTAGCAATAAACAAAGCTGAGCTGTTAATGGCAGCAGCAAGAACTCTTCATTGTAACATAATAGTTGCTATATTACTGTTCAGACTTCATCAGTTCAGGTAAGGCTTACAGAAAAATGTTTCTGTTTTCTACCATTCAATTTCCTCCAGGCCATGCCACATCAGCTGCAGTTTCCTCCAGGCCATGCCGCATCAGCTGCTGTTTCCTCCAGGCCATGCCGCATCAGCTGCAGTTTCCTCCAGGCCATGCCGCATCAGCTGCAGTTTCCTCCAGGCCATGCTGCATCAGTTGCAATTTCCTACTTTCACTTTTTATATCAGGACTCAATGATATAAAGAATTCCTCTTGTGTAGTTATGCACATGATTTTAAACTGAAACATTTGGCTAATTGCACAGTGTAAGCCATTTTTTTAAGACTTGACATCAAACACTTGCTCCGAGTTGGTCAGTAGTATTCACCAGCGGTAGGCAGAATCAAAGGGAGATAACAAATACATAATTACATTTGGGTGTATTTGTTCTTTATGGAAAGGTTGTGGTGGGTTGTTCCAGTCAAGAAATGAAACCATTGCCAAGTCATACCAAAGATAATACTCGCAATCCCTTTCTTTTTATTGTAGTTAGTCAAATGACGTGTTTTCACTGTCAAACAGTAATACTCGGCATATTTCAGTGGCATTATATATTTAGACCTGTATGATGTATGCAGTTCCACTGTAACAGGTTTTGCCAGCATGTATCAGGAAAGCAACTAGATACATGTATTCTGTTTGTTGAGATTTAACATGGTGCTCATGTGTCCAAGTGCTGTTGTATACCCTTCAGTCAGATTTAGCTTTACATTTGGATTGTTTTTTCTCTGTATTCACAACTTCCGTAGCAACATGAAGCTGTGGTGACAATGATCAGTGGATTCCATATTGCTGTGGCAACAGAAGTCAAGTGCATGTGTAATGAAATGCAAGGATGCTGGAAAGGGGTACTGTGAGATCGGTGCCCACTGCCCAGCTCTGTATCTTGTAATTAATACCTGTGTGTGGTGGAGACATTGTTTTAGTATAATTTCAGTAAACATTAACTGCTAAATTAATATACATATGTAAGTGAAAATTTGAATTTGAAATTTCAGAAACTTTAATGAAAATTGTTTGGACTGACAATTTGCCCAAGCCTGATACCTCTTTAACACAGTGATGACTGAAACTTGCTATAAACAACAAATTCTCTTCACTTTGATGACGACTGAGTTTGCTAAGTTGCTTCATCTGCCTTGATGGTAGCAGATCAGGATCCATCAAATACCATGTTCTTACCACTGACTTCATTGGTGGCATGGGTAAAGCTATTCAGTGCAATATTTAGTCATTCAGATTTTACATCAGGCAGCTTGGTCTGCCAAACTTATAAATCTCCATGTTTTGTTGGTGTTACTGTCTACAGTGTATACATGGTACTGTTTATTCAGAAGTGCCTCCATAGCAGAAATGTAGCTTATAGTTGTGTTGGACACATATCCCTTCCACTACAATCATGTACAGCAGAATCTTCTTAATCTGGACTACCATTTGTAGTGAAATTGTCCCGATGAATAAATTTCCAGATTAACAAATCCTGGAGGTAGAGTACTGATGCTGTATGTATATATAGAAGTTCTTATTCCATCATCGAGGAGGCAAGCTTTTAGGCAGTTGTCTCCTGGGAGAAACGGACAAGTTACACATTGTGAAGAAGTCTAGGACATTTCTGTCGCTGATGTTACTATTTTGCCCCTCAATATGTCAGGTGTATGTAAAAAGAAACTACCGTATTCGACGTAATTAGGGCCCATGGCGCTCTCAAATTAGTAATAGGGGGCTAGGAGTTGAAAGATAGATATCATGGTTTATGCTGACAGCCTGAAATGTTTATAAACAACAGGAATATTTTTCCAGAATTTAATTGCCCATAGTTAAGGGTGCATATATCACACGAGTGCATATTATACATGAATAAATAAGTCTTGTGTACATTGATCAGTCGGAAGGGGTGCGAATTGGGATTGTTCACTAGCCAATAATATATCAGCAAATATTGCCGTGGGCGCCTATTACGTCGAATACAGTATTCCTCAAGATGACATCAAATCAAAATAGCTTCAGCACATAATGCCATTTGTCATTGTCAGAAGTGATCTTAAGTACCTTGACCTGTACATTACCTGTGTAGCTTGAGTTAAATGATGTTATTGATCAGTTTCTAATTGATGATTCATGAATGAATTTGCAGTCTTGTGCTTTAGATGTCCTATTTTACAATGATGCTGAGCATTGAACGAATTCCTTGATTTTATTTATTCCCATTTAGCACACTGAAATCCCACCTTAAAGTAGCATTTACTAAATTTGTTGTTTGATCTGAATGCATGTAACTGTAAATAAGACAGTGTGGTTACGCTGGGTTAGTTGTGTGACAGTGCTGGAAATGCTTGTTTAAATGGGCGTTAAAATGTACGAGTTCCAATCTTGACATTACAGAAAGATTACATACCAAGTAATCTGGTGATCTGAGGTTGTTCTGTACTGAAACAAGATGGAAACATAATTTCGATGTTTTTCCCTATATTTAGAGAAAAAGAAATTAAGGAAGTGTTTTAGTTTTAGTGTTTTCAATTTCAATATTATGACAGCATAATTTATCACTGAAAATCAGAGAATAGAAGCTTTATCATTTCTTTGAAATCATTTGCAAACGGCATTGCATTTGCAAGCTGTGTAAGTTATATTTTTTCAGAGCACACAGAGAAGTTCTGCAATGTTTTAACAAACAATGTTTTCAAGCTAATTTTCCAATTTATGAGCACTTGGTGCCAAATATTGACCATGATCCAATAAAATCCTCACCCAAATAGTGTCTTTTTTTATTAGTTTAGGATTGAGCACTTGTTTTGTGAAGTCCTCCCACTAAAGCCGTGGTGGGGTAGCAAAGTCCTGGGTACAATGTGTGAATCCACTGTTGATGGTTTTTCTCTCCCCCCCGCCCCCCAATGGCTAGGACAGTGCTACTAACGAACTGGCAACAAAGAAAGTAGCAGGGAGGAAAATGAAAAGAATAAATGACAAATGAACCTGATTGTCAAAACTGTCAAAATCTACTGATTTCCTCACAGTTTGATGATTTAAATGGTCCCTATTGCCGGACAACATGTCATCTTGTGGGCATGCTAGCACCAACCTACATTGGGGGTTGTGGGGATTGGGGTGGTGAGACCTTATGGACATCTGTTAGTGTGCCGCCACTGACCTACATAAAGGGCATGTGTTGGGATCTTATAGACAACATCTGTCATTATGCTATCACTGACTTACATAAAGGGGGGATGTGTTGGGACAATATCTGTCAGTATGCTGCCACTGACCTACATAAAGGGCATGTGTTGGGACAATATGGACAACATCTGTCAGTATGCTATCAGTGACCTACATAAAGGGCATGTGTTGGGACAATATGGACAACATGTCAGTATGCTGTCACTGACCTACATAAAGGACATGTGTTTGGACCTTATAGACAATATCAGTCAGTATGCTGCCACTGACCTACATAAAGGGCATGTGTTGGGACAATATCTGTCAGTATGCTGCCACTGACCTACATACAGGGCATGTGTTGGGACAATATCAGTCAATGTGTTGCCACTGACCTACATAAAGGACGTGTTTGGACAACATCTGTCAGTATGCTGCCACTGACCTACATAAAGGGCATGTGTTGGGACCTTATGGACAACATCTGTCAGTATGCTATCACTGACCTACATATAGGGCATGTGTTGGGACAATATGGACAACATCTGTCAGTATGCTATCACTGACCTACATATAGGGCATGTGTTGGGACAACATCTGTCAGTATGCTGCCACTGACCTACATAAATGGGAGATGTGTTGGGAACATATGGACAAAATCTGTCAGTATGCTATCACTGACCTACATATAGGGCATGTATTGGGACAATATGGACAACATCTGTCAGTATGCTATCACTGACCTACATATAGGGCATGTGTTGGGACAATATGGACAACATCTGTCAGTATGCTATCACTGACCTACATATAGGGCATGTGTTGGGACAATATGGACAACATCTGTCAGTATGCTATCACTGACCTACATAAAGGGTGTGTGTGTTGGGACCATATTGATAACATCTGTCAGTATGCTGTCACTGACCTACATAAAGGGCATGTGTTGGGACAATATGGACAAGATCTGTCAGTATGCTGCCACTGACCTACATAAAGGGGAGATGTGTTGGGAACATATGGACAAAATCTGTTAGTATGCTGCAACTGAATACATAAAGGGCATGTGTTGGGACAATATGGACAACATCTGTCAGTATGCTGCCACTGACCTACATAAAGGGGGGGGGGGGGGGATGTGTTGGGACCATATGGACAATATCTGTCAGTATGCTATCACTGACTTACATAAAGGGCATGTGTTGGGACAATATGGACAACATCTGTCAGTATGCTGTCACTGACTTACATAAAGGGTGTGTGTGTTGGGACCATATTGATAACATCTGTCAGTATGCTGTCACTGACCTACATAAAGGGCATGTGTTGGGACAATATCTGTCAGTATGCTATCACTGACCTACATATAGGGCATGTGTTGGGACAACATGGACAACATCTGTCAGTATGCTATCACTGACCTACATATAGGGCATGTGTTGGGACAATATGGACAACATCTGTCAGTATGCTGTCACTGACTTACATAAAGGGCATGTGTTGGGACAATATGGACAACATCTGTCAGTATGCTGCCACTGACCTACATAAAGGGCATGTGTTGGGACAATATGGACAACATCTGTCAGTATGCTGTCACTGACTTACATAAAGGGCATGTGTTGGGACAATATGGACAACATCTGTCTGTATGCTGCCACTGACCTACATAAAGGGTGTGTGTGTTGGGACCATATTGATAACATCTGTCAGTATGCTGTCACTGACCTACATAAAGGGCATGTGTTGGGACAATATGGACAACATCTGTCAGTATGCTGTCACTGACTTACATAAAGGGCATGTGTTTGGACAATATGGACAACATCTGTCAGTATGCTGCCGCCACTGTTTTGACATTTCCACTAAAACCTCCAGGTTGAAGAAACCGTTCTTTTTCATCCAGAGTACACGCTACTTGAAGATACACATTGGTATCCAATCAGAAATCTTTCAGACAGTAATGAGAGGTATCTATTGGCTGAATCTAGGACTTGACAGCATGTCACATGTTATTATATCCAAATATAAGGATGGCAGAGGTTCTGAGTAATAAAAGTACTGCACTAGTTTTACCTGTATTTCAATAGTGTTCTTACTATCACAATTGTATACAATATTCTGATAGTAAAATTTGTCCCAATGCCTTTCTAGCAACTTTCAAAATAATTACCTGTTTCCATTTATTATTTGATGTGTTCATCCCTTATGACGAACCAAAGGCTACTAATCATCACAGGAGAAAAAGTATATTTTGTTAAAATTTATTCTTCGCCAAACTTACACATTGAAAGCTGGCATTTTGTGACATGCAGATGAACAAGTTTAAAATGTTCATTGTGACATTGGCACATCTGTACATAACAACTGAGTATTTACAAATGTAATATATAAATACACTAAGCACCTTTTCTGTGTACTCTACTGACTTCACAACACAGTTCCTCACAGAAACATCTACTGCAGTCTCAACATTTCACTTCCATACACTACTATCAGTCTCTGTCAAGCTCCAACACTTTGAAATATGAAGGTTCCATTCAGTTCTTTGAGCAACATGAATTTCTGGTCTAGGTTCCATAGGGAATATTGTCTTAAGAATAAACTTAACTATGCTTGATAACATGCTTCTAAGAAACCTTTCAGACACCTGACTCAAGAAAGAAAACATCAAATATATAACCATTTGTTAAGCACCTACTGGTGTTCTTGGGCTTTGTAAATGACATAAATCTATTTAGAATTGTAAGATACATCTGGATTTAGGATTCATTTTTAAAACATATTACTTGGATTGAGATCAAATACATTTCATGACTTATTAATCTTATCCACTAATAATTTTATATGAGGGCAAGCACATCAAAATAACCATTTTCAGAGAAGTGCAAGGGATAAATAATGGATGAGAAACATGTTGCCCTTTCTAGAACAGCAACAGGTGCACATTTACAAATTGTCATGGAATCACATGCATACTGACACACACTATTTACTTCTCACTTGAATCATGCATCAATTATCCAATTCATACCATCTGCCCATTAAACTCCAGGAGGAATTCAGAATCAACATGATTCAATAACATTTATCAAGTATCTCCTTGCATAGTTACACAGAAGGTTGATACATATATATCAACCCAAAGCCCTATTCATATGCAAGTTGAGACAGCACACAGACTTCATTTACACACTATCATTCATAACACACACAACCACTGGAATATATTCAGAATGTACGAAACTATCATATCTCAGGTACACAGACAACACAACGCAGCACTATGCTCCTCTTATAAGAAAAAGTATATCCAAATAAATATGTCACAGCTACTGTGGCGGCCCCCAGACATTTGGCCATATCTATGTAAGTACAATGTCCTGTTTATGACTTGACAAAGGCTACATTGAGAGAACAGAAAGCTTGTATCAATGGCTGAGTGATGAAAGACATCAGGATTTACACTTAAGCTCATCTAACTTTCTCTTATTTTCATTAATATTTCATTAACAAGAAAAGAGCTCTCAGCGGTTCACATTATCACAATGTTTCATGTACACACAATTTCTAATTACAAACTCTGACAAAGACGAAACACACAGTGGAGTGGAGACTTCCTATTGACAACACTGGCCTTATAGATCCTTAAACTGAACACAATGTGGACTTCAAATCTACAGAAAGATTTGTGATGCTTTTGTCATGTGATGAATGCTTTATGATGGAAATAAAGTGTGAACAGGTGGTGATTGCACATGACCAAAAGAAAGGAAGTGAAGGGCAGCAAGACGCTAACAGAAAGGGGAAGCTGTAGGATCTATAGACTTGAACAGATCTTTGAGAGGGGGCTCATTGGGCATGGGGACATGGGGTGGTATCATCAAATCAGCAACACCTGGTGTCACTAGATCTGGCCCCCCAGGTTGGTTGGGGAGGTCTGGCGGTGGTGTTGATGATTGCCTGGCCTGGGGGCCAGATGGAGCTGCAGTACCCCCTGGAGAATTGTTACTAGTCCTTGCCCAGTTCCCACCTTTGTTGGGTGGTTTAGTTTGATTAGAACTTTGTCTATTATAACTATTGTAACCTGAACTGTCATCTGACTTGGAATCCTCCATTCCTAATGGAGAACTGTATTCCATACTACTTTTTCTTTGACCAGTAAACTTTTTCACAAGAATCCCCTTCTCAGTGGTATCAGAAGCTGGCTTCCTCTTGAATCTTGGATCATTTCTATAGTCAAACCTTTTCGCAGACTGATCTGACTGAGAGTCAGACATGCCAGATTCTGATTCACTAGTATCAGCAGTTTCCATGTTAGAATTTCTAGGGTCTGTTAATTTTGGAGGTTCTAATAATGCTGAAGGCATCTTTTGATTCTGTCGAGGATCTAACCTGCTTTCAGAATTAGCACTTCTTGGGTCAGAGTTAGTTCTTTGTAGTCCTTGAGTTCTTGGATCACTACTCAATCTAGTCTCACCCAACAACCGTGGATCATTACCTGCATTCAATCTTGGATCATGTTTGGGTCCAACACCTGTTCTTGGATCAACTACTGATCCAAGACCTGACCTTGGATCTCCCACAGGCCCAATACTGGCATTTGGGTCACCCTGAGGAGGCCCAATACCTGATCTCGGATCACCCTGAGGAGGCCCAATACCTGATCTCGGATCACCCTGAGGAGGCCCAATACCTGATCTCGGATCACCCTGAGGAGGCCCAATACCTGATCTCGGATCACCCTGAGGAGGCCCAATACCTGATCTCGGATCACCCTGAGGAGGCCCAATACCTGATCTTGGATCACCTCCCGACCTTGGATCACTTAAATGGGGATGTTCATTATGCACTCTTTGATCTGCATTCATCCTTGGATCAAATGGCATTCTCTGATCTGGACCCATCCTCGGATCAAATGGCAGTCTAGGTTCAGGGCCCATCCTTGGGCCAAATGGCATTCTTGGCATAAATGGCATTCTATTACCGAATGGTGGCCTTGGTCCTGGTCCTGGTCCCATTCTTTGATCAAATGGCATTCTGACATCGGGTCTTATCCTAGGTTCATTACCTTGGAATGAGCCAGCAGCTCTAGGATCGTTATGTCTCACAGCTCCATCATGACTGTGTTGGCGGGATATATTTCTGGGGTCCTGTCTACCACCTGACTGTGGACCGCTCTGTTCCTGCAGGCGGCCTAGACGAGGATCTTTGACTGGTCTGACTGGTAGGCTGTGAGACATGGGATTGGGAGTAGACTGCACTCTTTGTAAGCGAGGATCACTACCACGAGGGTCCAAAGCCTTTGCAATCTGTTCTGATACAGCCTTTTGCAAACTTGAAAGACTTGGTGGTTGACTTGACTGTTCACTACTGGTATGCACCCTTGGATCTGCACGCCTTAACCTGGGATCTTGTGGTTTTGGAGCAGATGCTTTTTCCTCAATGCTTAAATGGCGTGCTCTTCTAGGATCATTGTTCAAAGGCTTCGGCACACTTAAATCTTTTTCACCATTCTGTGGTGAAGACAAAGGAGGTTTTACTTTTCCTACTCTAGAAATGTATTTTTGCACACGTGGGTCATTCTGGTATGTAGGGTCATTTGGATCAACATTTTGTGGTATTGAATGATATGGTTTCTGACCATTCACACTAAAGTCTTTGATCCTATATGCCATTGAAGTAAGGACTGCTTCTATCACAGGGTAGGAACCATTAACACAATCCTTGTTGGGTTTCACTGACATTGTGTAATCTCGTATTATGTCTTTGGGTGAAGCAGCACCCTTCATACATTCTGTGGAATCATGTCTCTTAGCAGCTCTGAAAGTAAAACAGCACATTGTTAACTGCTTACATGTATCAAGACACAATAAAATCTGGTTATCAAAGAGAATTTCATGTACTATCAACTTAGGGATAACAGAATAAAAGATCATCCAACTTCAATTCTTGCAAATTTTATCTTCATAAAAATACAGAAAGCAAAGAAAAATCTGAAAAATGTTAAATTGTCGAATGAACTTCAAGTCAAATTAAGAGTTTAAGAAAGCCCTGTTGTGAGTTCCGGACGTTCACCGTTTCTGATCTTAGTTACAGAAATGGAAAGATGAATCCAGATTTTCATGCAACATTGTCATGCCTAGTGATAGCATAATGCAGCGAATGTTATATACAATTTATCCAGTTTGTTATTGCTCAATCATATAAATCCATTTGCAAAATACACTAGCCAGCCAGGCTACCATTTCATTTACCTTGACTAGTCCTTACAAAAATATACTAGCCTCATGCTAACAGGGTACCGTAGTTGTGAAAAAGGCCTTGCTAGCAATAAATGCATGTGTGCATTAGAAGTAAGTCATCATGCCTATGTGGCTGCATTTTCAACCTAGCCTTGACACAACCTTATTTGTGTACAGGTCCCTGTGACATATATTGCTAAAACACAGAATTCCTTTTTCAACTTACATAACTCCTACACTATAACACAAATGTAGCATAAAGACCACTGGAAATGAAGTGTCATTGACACACACAACCTATTTCAATATTACCCTGAACAAACTAGTGTACAACACTGGGATATTTACCTTGGTTTGACACTGTCACTGACACCAGGGGGCGTTGACTGTGCCTTGTCTGGGATCGGCGGAGCCTGGTTCTTGATGGACTGAATCATCTGCATGATGTTGAAAGTGGATGCTGTGGGCGTGCTGCCTGGTTGGGGTGAACTGTGTGGTTGAGCCACAGGCTGAAGCAACACAAACACAAACATTCATCAAGATGTTTCAACTGTAATTCAAATGGAATATGCATCATGATTGAAGTTCACGATTCAATTTCAGAAGTCATGCTTCAGGAACAAAAAAAAAGCTGCTTGTGTACCTGTTTGCTGAGATTCTTCAAGACGTCCATCAATTTAGGTCCCCCTTCTAGATCCTCATCACTGGAGTACCAGTCGTCATCTTCAGCATCCTGGGAACCTGGAGAATCAGATGTACAGTCAAGTCCTGTTAATTCAACATGGTTGGTTGCATATGATTATGTCAGATTAACGAGTATGTCGAATAAACGAATTTAAGTTGTACCAACGTTCAGGATCGAAAATCGGACAATTACACGACAGATAACGATACAAACACGAAATAAAAAAAAGGAAAAAGAAATAATGATATTGTTATTACATTGTTAGCGAAATATGTTTTCTAATCATGCAACCTCTAAAGCTTAACACAAAACTACTGTTGACTGATTCAAAATACTTTTGAAAGAATAGTCGGAAATGGAAGTCGCAAGTTTGAAACTAGTGCCAGAAATCTCAAGAAAGCAGCTTTCTATGTGGCCAATGTAGACTTCCTGTTTGTCATTACATTAGTCGGTCAAAGATCGCGGAAGGTCATTATGACGTGTCCTGTAATGGGATGTCCTCAGTGGTAGCTGGAACATGTATCTGATTTTTATGAGATTCGAGTAATCAAAGCATGGATTTGTTATAATCCTGTTTTGTTATTTAAAGCAATAATTTATTGTTAAACATGCTTATCTCTGCAACCGTTGCAATATGCAGCTACTTACTGACTCGTCTTGCATCAAAACACGGGCTGTGTACTCGCGGGCAGATGACCACAGAGCATACTGATCACCGTGTCAGATTAATGAGACTGATTTCAGTTATTCATTGCAAATTAGGTGTGTCAGAGTCAGTTCCCATAATTTGTATCGGATAAAGAGGATTAACGAGCCATGAATATATACAGCATCATCGAGAGCTGAATGAACTTATGGCGAACTCACCACTGATTCATGATGTATACTTCTCAGATCAAGACGTACTTAATGGCTATTGAAATATTCTAACCTAACTACTGGCTTGATGACATACAGCTGAAAACAATTGTTTCAATATCTTGCCTTATATCTAGTCATGTTGTCTTTACAATGTTTACATTTCAACCTAGTCAGTAAAGACCAACTGTGCCTGCATTAATTAACATTTTCTATATGTGTCATTCCAAACTAGTTCTTGCAAAAATTGATCATCATTATAAATACTAATTTTCTCATCGGGTTCATCTTGTGAAACTTACCTTTAGCTGCACTTGGATCATCGCTTGTCTCAGTTGTCTCCCCTTGTTCACTCAGAGCATTGTCCTGCTGATGCTGCCTTATTCGCATGAACAAATTCCGTTGGGTGGGAGGTAAGTGACTTGGAATTTCCATCTCAATGGCCTTGTCACCATCATTTTCACCAGCACCTGAAGACAAAACTTTAAATACATAATCATCATTGCATCACTTCTTATGTCATCTGATTTTTTCTTTTGTCAATGCATCAAGTCAAGCATGGGTTGTATGAAACAGTTGCGCTAAACTGTTTTATCAGGTCAACAGAGGATTCTGGTTGAGACATGACAGAATATTCTCACCTTGTTCTTCAGAGGTTTCTTGTGTATCTTCACTACTCTGAGCCTGATCTTGAGGTTCACATTCTTCTTTTTCAGTTTCATTTGTTTTAGTATGTGCAATTTTACTGGAATCTTTACTTGAAATTGGACTTTCGGGATCCTTGATGTCCTCTGGTTTAACTGATCTTCCATCTCTATGAGCTGAAGGACTAGATATTGTGTCACTGGCATGTTTTGGAGATGTTTTGGGGTCTGCAATTGACACTCTTGGATCTCTACTTCTTCGTGGATCTGCAGCTATCATTCTAGGTTCTTCTTTGACTTTAACCTCAGATTCATGTGGTGGACTTCTTGGATCACTTACTGATTGATTGTCTTGTTGTTCAGATGAAGCACTGCGAGGGTCTCTGGTAGTCTGAGCTTTGGCTCTAGGATCTCTTGCTAGGAATGGCACATTTCTTGACTCTTGAGGCTGACTTCTAGCCTCCCAAGAGTCCTTTGGAGGACCATCTGCATCGAAAGGTCCCCTGGGATCAGGCAATAGAGGTCTCTGGTTTCTTTGACCCAATTCTCTTTGTTCCATAGGATCTTTGTTCTGATTTCTTGGATCTGCCTGACCACTAGGACCCATATTTTGAGATCTTGGACCTCTTGGATCATTCCCCCGCGGATCTCTAGAATCAATGGGCATACCCCTAGAGTCCAATCCTGGTTGTGGACCTCTTGGATCCATCCCTGGTGGTGGCCCTCTCAGATCCATTCCTTGGGGTGGACCCCTTGGATCCATTCCATGATGTGGACCTCGAGGATCCACACCTGGTGGTCTTCGTGGGTCTATTCCTTGCGATCTTGGATCTCTAGGATCCATGTGTGGTCCTCTTAGGTCCATACCTTGTGCTCGTGGATCTCTTGGATCAAAAGGAGGACCTCCTTGAGCTCTTGGGTCACGAGGATCCATCATTGGTCCTCTCCCTGGGGGTCCATTATCATGGAAATTTGGTCCAGGGCCTCGCATATCAGGAGGCCCTCCAGGGCCCCTAGGACCCCTAAGATCCATAAATAGTCCTCTGGGTCCTGGACCCATTCCTGGACCTTGTATTCTGGGTCCTTGCATACCAGGGGGAGGTCCTTGGTTCGGTCCAGGAGCACCTGCTCTAACCACCACTTCTGGTGGTGCACCCCTCAATATTGCACCAATCATGTTGAGAACTGGAGGAACTGAGGCATGTTGCTGGGGAGGTGGGAGATTAACAGGAGGTGGTCCTGGGCCAGGGGCTTGTGGTGGTGTATTTGCGTCTTGATAGAAACCACTCGGTCTGAAAAATACCAAGTACCAAATGCATAAAACATTTCAGTATGCCATACAATAGAAAACATTTAGCTCACAACTTAAGCAATGAAAACTAAATTAAAAAAGAAATTTTTGCTCACCTTATGGACGGCGAAGCTGGGGTGGGTTTCCGTGGACTGGGATTCTGTCCTGGAGGAAACACCTGAATATCAAACAGAGATGGGATCTTCTTTGTTGGGTCTCCTCCTTCCAAGAGGTGGCGTGGTGGAGAACCTACAAAATAATCAGGGCTCATATACTGACAGAACTTGCAAGCCAATATAAACTAGAATTAGTAAAATCTAAATATTTCTTACATTTGCATACTTAAACTGCATTATTCCTTAATGCATTTACTGCTTACGTTACGACAAAGAAGACAGGGCCTCATGACGGTCCTGGGTGAAAAAAAGAAATGCTGTTTCTGACCCAAGTCCACTTTTTACTTTACAGGATCACAGCCGGAGTCATTTGACAGGTTGTGATGTCACATCCAATTCATATTACTGCCTGTCACCCGAGCTACCAGAAAGAGTTTCTGAAGCTATAGTGGGGAGGCAAGTCTGCAACAGGGGGGTGTCTTTAAACGTAGTAATGCAGGATAAGTATACAAATGTAAAACATATTTAGATTTTACTAAATATTTTACTTATCCTGCATAACTCCTCAATGCATCTGCATCGGACGGTATAGTGGTGGGTATACTTTACAAACCTGAATAATAAAGAACCCTTCAAACATCAAGTTATCAAGGAACCCACAAGGCGGAAAAAACAAAAACACTGGACGGTAGGGCTGGTTAAATCTCTTTTACAGACGGAACATGAGAATTGAGTCCATGTAAACAACCAGTAAAATGGAAGATTAGTGTAAGCTAAAATCTTTTCATACATAAAATCTTCCCACCGGGCGTATCATAGAGAGTACTGCGCAGGAAGGGAATACTGGCTCTGGACAGGACTAGTTCATTATTTGCATTTGGGGTTGGTTACCTGCTGGGCTACTGCCAGAGGGCCAAAACTATGAACGCCGTCACCTTCTTCGAGTGCCACATCGCAAAGATATGGCTGGCAAAAACTGTGTCTGTTGGATTTTAATAGAAGATGTTACTTCCTTGGATAATTCAAAGGGAGTGGAGCTGTGGTCAATAGTGGAAGTACCTCTACGTCTAGATGATAACCGTGACGTAGTACGTTGAGAACGAAATCATCCTTGAGGATGCTCTAGTTCTTCCAGAACCAATTTAGTCTCCTGCCTACGGAGGAGTCGACAATTGGGACAGCTGGGGGCGGGAGTTTCCAGTCATGACTGTCCAACACTTCAGTGTTTACCCCTCTTATCACCTCCCCTGTCCTGGTTTTCCTCTGCCATGCCCTTTAGTTTGAAAGGAATCCTGGTCTTGGCCTTCCTTGAGAGACACGCGTCTAGACTTATAATTGATGATGTGGTCAATCTGACGCTGTTGGAAGTCCACTATAGTTTGGAAATGATCGGTTAGTGTTGTCCTCTGATCGATCCTGCTCTACCGCACATGTTGACAATGCTAGTGCTGACAAAGGTTTCAATACCCGTCTGATTTCTGTTTCAATAAACACAAATCTGGTATCCTGAACCTTAAGGGTGGTTGGCCTTGACTATGAGCTTGGTCTGCTACCGAAAACGCATGGATGGGAAACTCATCCTTCCTAAACTTGAGTGGCTTAAATGACAGCGCAAGTGTGAGCTTGGAGAAGTCTTCGTACACCGGAATTGATGTAGGATGCCACCATAGTGTCCTCTTTTTATCCACTCCATTACCAAGGGAGGGCGCCAGTGACACGAGACCCAATTGGGTACTTGTGCTAAGCCGCTAATCCTATTTCATTCTACCGAGGTATCGCCATCTTCGCCATTTAACGAGTCAGAACGATTTGGCGCCTTGACGGCAATCTGCTTCTCCTCCGGTGCGTAGTGCTACCTCTGACAGAGGGACAGGATGATCGGCCTGGTGATTGGGAGTCATGCGCCAATGTCCATGCTGGCGTACTAGCGCTGCCCAGTGATGAATGCGCAACAGGCATATTGTAGATGATAGGTGCCGGAGTAGGCGCTAAGCCTTGTGTCATAGTTGTAGCTGACGCAGGCAAGGGTCCACATAGGCGTAGGCTCAGGATACAGGCGAGCCATAGACTCCTGCCATATTGACTACATGAAGTTTTGCAAAGAATTAGTGTTCTGGAACAGTCTTGATGCCTGAGCGTACATCTGCTGCACTGGATAAGTTGTTGGAACAGCGCTAAGCTGATCATGTGTCGCCTGTGTAACATTGTACACTGTATGCCCTTGGGCTGATGTCATTGTAGAGGGGCTTGGGTAGTAGGCAGGCTCTGCGCTCGGCGCAGGTCCCTGAGATGCAATGCTCATCGGTGCTGACTGGATCATGGCATCTTGAGACGCTGACGCCGGCATTGCAAATCTAGAACAGCTGGATGTCTCAGGCGGCTGAAAATTTGGAGCAGTTACGATACTCACAATCTCCTCCGGTATTGTTGATTTCAGCGGAGGATGCAGTCACAGTGATGGGAGCCCTATTACCCATTGCTGATAATGGCTGTGTGGTAATGACAGAAACATGTCCGTTGCTATCTGGCGATTGTGACATCTTCCTCGCCACACGACAGGATTGATGCGAAATTCTTTTGTGAGTAACCTGCCTATATATTGTAAAACTCGCTGGGGAGAGAGTTACACAAAAATTACATTTAGAGTTTGGCGAGCAAATTTGTGTGCATGCCAAACAACCTGGATGAGGATCTTTGGAAGATTTTTTTCCACGACAATTAGTACAAGCGCAAGCATAAGTTATGCAATAAAGAATTGTTGATGAAACAGGAAGAGTGCCATAGAATTAAACAATATTTTTTAAGAGTTGAAAGTGTATACAGCATTGATATACGCAACTCAATATAACGTCAAAGCTTCTATTACACACATGAATATGTTATACATACGTAGCTAAGAATTGTAAACAATTTGACTACCTTAGCAGGCAAACAATTGTAACACAAATTCAAAATGCAAATTCAAACAAGCATGTTGTGGGAAATAACCTAAATATTCCACATAAAACCACACAACATGGTGAAAGTAATATGAAAGGAATACATCACCCATCGCAGATCAATTTTAGAATTATAGACAAAAACTGAAGGTCTAAATTAATCCAATTTGATGAGCTTCGCTGGGACATGTCCTTGCTGTAGCACGAGAGGCAGTGATGTGAAGAGGGTGACTTGTCATCAAGGTCACATGACAGCGGCGATGGTCCGTATAAAAGTGGGATTTGGAATCAACAACATCTTTATTTCTTCACCCAAGACCATCGCTGTTGCGCTGTCTTCTTGTTGTCGTGAGGTAAGCAGTGAATGCATTAAGGAGTAATGCAGGATACATAAAAAATTAGAAAAATAGCAAAAGGCACCAGTGAAGCTGATGAGCAATGCATATGACAAGTTTCGGGCAGACAGGGCGCTGGAACAATCATTTAAATTGCGCAGCACAAAAATCACTGGTAAGCTATTTCCTTTTGGTGATTTTTTGTCGTCTGTTTTAAATTATTTCCATTTTTCAAATTTGGTTTTTATCAAGCATTTATCATTAAGCATGCCCTAAAGTATTAAACTCTGCAATGTTGCTATGTTATCTTAGCAAGTCCTTTACAATGCAATGTTTCCATACCTTTCTTATGGTATTATATATCTCAAAAATAAACACAAGAAGACACAGCTTAAATTTCTAAATGAATATTAACATAAACTTACCAAGTAAACAAGGTCTTGGCTTATCAGGTTCGTCGCCATGTAATATCTGGAAAAGGAGATTTGGTATGTAACGACAGTAACACAAACACTATCTTTCAAAATTATGCAGAGGAGTGTTAGCATTTTATGCAAAAATATAAACAGGCCATTCCCTGTCTTTTCCTGAATGCCTAGAAAATCTCAGAGCACCATGTAATTTATGTATGCACTTCAGATCTAATGTCACATCAGGTTTTGTTGGAAGACTTTTGGCATACAAAAGTAGCATGGCAGCAGGCCACAAACCCTCAAAGCAGCCAATGAAGAATCAGTCTGTGACTACAGTGGCAGATCCAGAGGGCGTTCCTGGGGTGGCCACCCCTTTTTTCACATCATTCTGATGACATTTTGTACATGCATTTCCTACTATGATAACATGTTGATTTGATTGTGAAAGTAAAATTATTAATAATGGTTTACATTATAGTGTTTGTGATTTGGGGGGTAGGCTTTTGGGTGGGACATCCCCCCCTTACCATCCCTACCCCCTCAACACACACACACTGAAGTTAAATGGTGGACCCCCTCCCCCTCCCTCCATTCTAAATCTTATTATAATCCTGGATCCCCTCCTATACTAACACCTGTCATAAGCATGTGGTTGAGAAAATAAACTTGTGCTGGTAGCAGTCACTTTAAGAGCAGCCCCCTGAAGGGCACAACTCACCTTATCAAGCAATGGTCTTGTTTCATCCGTCAGGGGTTCATGGGAAAACTTGCAGTTATCACCCTGGTAACAGTCTGCACCAGTGTGGAAATACTTGCATGGATAATCATGTAACATGTTAAGGAAGACACACTAAACAAGATATGTTGTATGCACTACATCGGCCGTATAGAATAGTTAGGCATGGAATATACACTAATCAAATGTGGTTCCTTATTTGTTTGAAGCTGTCATCATGCACTTTCAACTGTTCTGTGTGATCCTGATAGCACTAGCATTCAGAGAAGAGATTCATAAAACAAATTAACTTGGAAAAGGTCATTTCCCCAAAAGAGGACACTTACATTTGAAATAAGTGGGGAATTTAGATCTTTTGAATTAAATTTTGTCACATGACGAGCATGTTATCAGGATGTTCTACAGCTGTTAGATAGTTTTAACATGTCTAGGATTGTGTTTATCTTAAAACACTGATAACGATGGGCAGACATTAAACCTGTATTTCCTCATGTTTGATTACTATCTCTTCATGTCAAGTCAACTTCTTATTTACTTAGTCACATTATAATCAACATGAATCGTATAACTGTCAAGTGTACTTTAAGCAACGACAGTAAGTGTTATCCTGGCGACATTGGTCTTGGATGAGACTGACACAGAGCACAGAGCACAGAAAGGATATCATGCATGTAGATACAGAAGTCCCCCTTGGAACAGTTTGACTGCAGATAGAACTTGCACACCTCTGGTTTCTTAGGTGGTCGGAAGTCGTGATTGAATGGGCAACCACTTCCCTGCAAAAATAAACATTCGCAGAATGTTAAACATCTGATCATAATACCTCAATTCAAGACTGGTTCTACTTTTTACATGACAAAATATACACTACCATGATATACCAGTGTTTGAAATTGAGGAAGTCCTGGCATTCTCAACGTTTATGTCAGGTCTATCTTTAATTTTTAACATTAAGGTCATGACAAGGATCCCTTGACATTCATGCTAAATTTCAAACACTGCATACTATATATCTGTATTCTTCAATTCACCCATAATTCATAAAAAGGTTACCTTAGCACATTTTCCTTCCATGTAGAACTTGCAATGTGGCCTTTCATGACGAGGTATTTCCAACAGTGGTTTTTTCCTGGGTTGCACCTGGCCCGGATTTTCACCCGATCGTCTGGGAGTTCTACTGATGTGCCCTGCTTTCCTCTTCCTACCATGACCTTGATTCTAACAACACACAAAACACAAGTTTGAAAAAACTTACCTTCTTCACCATGTGTACATGTATACATGGAAAACTAATGAAATGTGAAAAAGATAATAAGCATAGAAATTCACAAGTGAGCAAGATAAAGTTGCTTTACACTACAAAGACGTTCCAGTTATACGACTGCTGCATATAAATAATCTAATCTGGGCTAGTGAAACCTGTGGCTGACAGCATGAGCACAAAAACAACTATCAAGGAATAATGACCTCTATTAGCCCAGTGACTGCTCCATCATTAGTTGACTCATGGTATGGGACATTTAGGACCTATTTTACCTTGGAATCCCAATGAGGAAGATAAGGACCAAATCAAAACAGGAATGCAAATTCTGTATACTGAAGAAAAGTTCTGTTTTTACCTGACTATCAGTTTCCATGTATTCTCCCTCATAACCAGGTGGTGGAACAGGCCTTATTAAGTTATGGCTCCTGAAATGAGGAAGCATGCTGTTAACAGAGATAGCATTCAGACAACTTACCATACCAAAGTAAGAGTTGTTTCCCTTTGGGAAGATATATCGCTGCTTACAAATTTAAGTACATATCAAAGGTTTTTGTTTGTTGTGTACTGCTTAAGGTTGTAATAGTCCAGAAATATGACAGTGACCTGTAAATGATAGACTTGACCAGATAATCCACTGATTGATACTATGAGCAACGATGCACTCCGTTGGGGTACGATGAAGCTATGAACCAAGTCAGGAAGTCTGACCACTCAAGAACTAATCTAACCAAAATTCTTCACCTTCAACATGTCAATAGCATCTAAAGAACACACTATTCAGTAAGAACTCTCACCCGTCTTCGGAGTCTTCATCGTATGAGGGACTGTCGTAAAGTCCTGGAGGGCTGTCATACAAGCGGTCATATTGGCCAGGTGAGCTACGTTTCTTTGATGGACTACGGTTGTGACCTGGACTGTCATATGGTCCAGATGGACTGTCATACCCAGGGCTATCATATGGCCCAGGGGGGGACCTTGACCTCTTGTCGAAGGACATCATGTCTTGATCTTCTGGACGGTCAGGATCTCTGTACTCTCTACCATGTCGTTTCCTCTATCAAAATTATAATGCTTACTTTAAAGATGTTAAGGATAAATGTTTAAGAAAACATAAGGAAAATTTGAAGGTATAAACATCAATAAATCTGTTTTCATTCTTTTATGATTTCTTCTTAACACATTAATACTTGCACTTCTGTATGAAAATAGTTCACATTTTACCTTTTTTTCACGATCTTTCCGATCGTGTCGGTCTTTCTTTGACTTCTTTTTTTTCTTCTTCTCTTTTCGAGCTTTATCTCCTGATTCTTCCTCACACTCCTCATTCCCCTCTCCCAACTCCTTCTCCTCCCCATGATGACGCTCATGTCGGTGACTATGGCGGTGCTCTCGGGATGAACTAGGGGATAATTTAGCTGCTGCAAATATACCATTAGTAGCTACATTAGTCCATCAATGTATATTTACCACATTAGCAAAATGTTAAATGTTTCTTTTCCTTGTTCCAATCCAAAACAACTGATGTAAACACTGTTCTTAAAGTATGGAAGTACGGTAATCAGCACTAGCCAGATAGCCCCTTCCAGTTTTGTAATGTTATTAAAGGTATCCAAAGGGCTAGAAGAATTTCTACAAACACATGCATCCTCATGTTAGCTTGGTATGTCAGGTATATGACACAAAGAGGACTCCTTTCACAATCTATCTCTCTAATAAACCTAGTCATGCCTTGAAACGCTAAATCTGATATTCACTGTTCTTTTTCTTTCCCATTCCTTTGTCATAAAACTATTCAAAATATTGTGTATCACTAAACCCTGTAAATGTATTTGAACTTTAGAAGCATTGTTCAGAATCTCACATTCATTATTTGGATCACTTGACATTTTCTTCGATGGGGGAAGCCTTGCTTCTTCATCATCTTCATCAGCTATTTCTCCATCTTCCAGAATCTCTCCATCTTCTAGGTCCCCAGCATCTTCGTCATCATCATCATCCTCATCATCATGATCATGATCATGACGTCGATGTTTGCGAGAACCTGCCGACCGCTCAGCCATCCTTAATTGATGTCTGCGGAATTTCTTATGTCTATGTGTATGCCTGTGCCCACCTGGGGAGTCATACACACTGTCATTCTCCTTGTTGTCATATTCCAAGCCATTCTTATTGACCTTGCCAGCATTGTCCATCTCTACAGGGTAAGAGTTGTCCCCCTTCCCTCCAAAGAATTCATGTTTCTTTCCATAGTCCTGGCTTACAAAGTCATCTGTCACTGGCTGTGTATCATTATCATCTTCTCCATCACTGGGATCAGGATGTGCCACATCATCTACTTCCATCGTGATGGATTAGTACTCCTGAAAGTCTTTGGATTTCATCTGGTGTTATCTGTGGAAATTTTAAACAATGTTCTTAACTGGGTCCACACAACACAATTTCTCAAATTGTTAATATATATCATATTTTTCAAAATAAAACGTTTTGAGTAAAAAAATAATCTCGATTTAAAAAAAACACACAAACTGTTAAAATATAAATTGAAGCTAATTATGAAAATCAGACCTCTTAAGCTGAAACCAAATGTCAATCCATTGTTTTCCTACAGCAGAAAGCAAAACCAACACTCTAAATACTTGAATAAGGCTTAGAGTGTATGAGTGGGTTTTTATATGCCACAGACAGCAATTTAAATGCTATATCATTGCAGGGTACAATTTCCACCCGTAACCCCTGCCTCTATTTTCTTTAAATTTTGACTATTGGCCGGAAAGCATAAAAAAATATTTATGTTGAAATAGGATTGGGGTTGTCTTGGCCCAGGCAAAATCTGAAGTAAGGATTATGGCCAGAATTGTTTTTCCATGGCAACAATGAGTATTGAGTCTGCATGAGATAAACCAGTGCTTGATAGTATGAGCAAATATACTCATTCCCTATGACAGTTACACAAAATGAACCATGTCTAACAATGGAACAATCCATTATCGCAATCAGCTTTATCAAGAAGCATTGGGTACTTAAAATTAGGACCTATTCTTCCAAAGAATCCCTATGAAGTTTAAATATAGTAATAGCATATATTTATTTTCATTTCAAGCGCGTTTATATTTCTTACAACAACAAAAGAACTTTATATATTCTCACCAAAAAAAATAATGTAATGTTTTAAATGTTCACAGACATATGAACTTCACACTGTGAAGTCAATATTTTTAGTATAAAATTTGCCTCAAACTGAGGCAAATTGAAATTGTATATATAATACCCTGTATCTTATATGTATTTGTAACAATTACATTCTTTATGTCCTAATTTATTTTTATAGTATCAAAATTGTTAATATTAAGCATGTGTATTACTCTAAAGAAATAATGCCTCTTAATATTATGGAGGAAAGTGTAAAGAAATGGCAAATGTACCTGAATGACATTCATTATAAGAAAAACCTGTTACTTGGGTTATTATTTATCAGTTGAAAATACACTTACACAATTCAAACGCCAAAAATATTCAACGGTTTATCTCAAACCTCAAGCTTCGGTCAGTCAGTACGTTTGTTTACAATGTCTTTTGTAACTTTGATGTCCACATCAATGTCTGTGTGTCACAGCATATTATGCAACTTTTCATTCTGAAGGTGTGTGATTACAATGATAGCTGTAAAATGCTGTTGTGCGATTCCAGTTATATACATATCAATCAAAAACCTCAATGGTCAGTTATCTCGTCCGGTAATAAGTTTGGTTGAGCATGGTTGAATTAATGTACGCCATGTCTCTGAGTGCGCGACATTGTTGTGGCAACAGCTGACGAATATATGTCCTTCCCCTTCATGACGTCATAAAATAGGCCATGCGTGAAACGCTATCTAAGCCCGAATTAGTTGAACATCGTGCTTATTACTCGCTGCTGTAAATATGTACTCACTTCAGTAATATGGATATATTATTTTTAAAATGTAATAGAAGCAGTAGCACGAAGTATGGAAAATGTGTATTGTGAAAGGATTTGTCACGTGCGCGCCGAACTACTTCCAGTGGTATTACTACTCGGCTCATGTTCAATGACAAACGGTTTTCTCGTGGAGAGCGGGAGACGTTCTATCACACTTCTGCTGGGAGAAATCAACTTTTATCATTTCCAGAACAATTAAAATTTGTCATTTCAATAGATAACATAAACAAACCTCTTATAAAATCCAATTCACAAAATACAAATACTGCCCTTCCAACAGACTTCGCATGCATCGGTGAAGATATTTGAACAATGTCCATAATCGACATCATACAATATTATCTGTGAGCGCAGAATCATTTACCATACTTTACCAAGTTACATCACTGATTTCATTGCTGATATTTTGTCTGAAATAAGTTCATCTTTCCGTGATAAAAGCAATGTCACTGTGTAAACCCGTTTACGCAGGTGTGGTGGACATGACACGTCTACACCTCATTAGCATAATTTATGCATAAACTTTGTTACCTTCGTTTTCAGTTAAATTGCATCCTTGAATCGAAGTATTACTAGCCTAGGCTTACAAATATTGCCTAGACTTCAGCAGAAGAAGTCTCGTCGAGCTTATCAGGTTAATTCGTCCGATATTGCATGGCCTTATCCGAGTTTCCTTTGTCTGCTAGAAATGGCTTCTCTCTGTGAGGAGCAAAGAGGGGTCGTCTAGCGAGGGAACTTTTATCGGAAAAGGGAAATATACCGGACTACAATAAGTCTCACAGACTTAACACATCAGACATAGATAAGATGAGGAATGACATAAGTTTTCAGCTCCAGACAATGTCCGATTAAGGTGCTTTTTTCCTGCTTTCTTGGTCACATACCATTCCTCATAGAACGCAATATGGCGACGTGATGTCATGAATCACGTGACCTGAAATGTAACTGGAAATAACCCGTTTGGGACATTCTATTTTCATAACAGGGGTGTACAGCTTTTACTTACCCTATCATAAATATGTATTTCGAATATGTGTGACGCTAAAACCCCAAGAAGTTGAGTGTATAAATATAATAATAATATAATTCGAAACGTTTGATATATTTTTTACATATGTGACATATTAGAATACGGTATTTTTCCACAGCACCTCCTTCATAACCTATTTGTAAATATGGACTGTACCTGCTAGTTGCTTCGACGAATGGCGCCTCTGCCAACTAAGGAGAATTTACCTTCTTGTCGATGCATTGATATCACGTACAAGACTATAAATATTTTACAAAAAATAATAACGCGAGTTGATATGTAATAAGAGATGTATTCATAGTTTTGAGAAGTGTGGTGATGAGTGTTTGAGACTGATCGCTAAAACGGGATGTTTCAACGTATCACTTGAGATCGCACAATATATATTCTCACTTATGTGTATATAGGCCACTGGGCCAGATATATAACAGTTATTTGTAAAGCCAGTATCTCCCTGGGTCATTAGCATTAGCCTAATTATGTAGTCATCATGGCTGTTCTGCTATCTAATCATCTTATATCGATGACCAGAGACCATATATGGTGTCTACGATGACATAGTTATTTATTGTCGTGCTAAACCGTATAGATGTGACCAAGTTCAAATAAAAAATATGTAGTTAAAAAATAAAAAAATAAAAAAGTCAAACTAAGTTTCAAATACCAATCTAAAAACAGTTTCATAAAATCTATCTAAAACAAAATAAATGACAAAATAATTATCAATTTAGTTTTACAAGGGATTCTCAGAAATCATGAAGCCACCTCCATTAATATGATGGGTTGGAGAGACCATGCTTGTGTATGCTGTAACCCATCCCCCGTGTCTCCTGTAACATATTTTTATAGTTATTCTCATACCTCTACGCCTAGGGTTTACCTATGTAAACCAACCACACTGCCTCCAGTGTCTTCTGCTAATATCACTGTTGTGAAGTGAAGTGTTGTCAGTAACAGTTCTTCTCGTTTGTTAATAAGAAGGGGTTTAACATTTCACGGCGAGCACATGTCCCCGAAGCTTATAACCATCTATTTATACAATTCGTTGTGTCACTTGAATAAAAGCGATTATCCGTATTTAGGCCTAAGGCGATGTTGGGACAGCCTTTGTTATTATCTCGAATGTTATTACTCCTAACTCGGAACTGTCGGCTTGCTTACGTGACATCGGTAATTCATATTGTTTGAATTAAGAAAATTTTATTGGTGCATTCATATTTTAATTTTATGGACGTGGCAAACACGTCAATTAGCTGTCAGTTTAGGTCGTTATAAATTGTGTCGAATATATTTTCTTGTATTATTATATTTTAGTATTTTAAAATTTTAATCAAAATTTATATTGTACAAAACACCCACATAGGACAGAATACAAACCAGCTACTTTGGGAGTAAATATAATTGCAAACATGGAATTGCAAACATCTAATGTACATTATGCATAAAGATATAACATATTATTATACAAGATAAATAAAGGTTTGTATATAGCACAAGCTGATTGATGACGTACACCTGATATGAAATACAGTAGTGATAAGTAGCAATATGTTTATAAAAAAATAACTACATGTTTAGCATTGTCTAAAATATAGATTCTTTATATAAACATGTCGGAGAGAATTTATGTTTGTTTGTTATTCCAGCTATATGACGGCGGTATGTAAATAATCGAGTTCTGGACCACACAACCCAGTGATTGACATCATGCGCATCGATCTAGGCAATTGGGAAACGATGACATGGATCATCAAGTCACCGAGCCTGTCTACTCGATCCCGTTAGTCGCCACCTACGACAAGCATAGTCGCCTCTTACGGCAAGTACGGGTTGCTAAGACCTATTCTACCCCGGATCTTCATGTAACATACTTTCCTTTTAGAGCAAGGATTTAAGAAAGGTGCGAAGACTTTGTTGTTATTATTATGACACTTTAATAAATCTAGTGTCTGAAGAACTAACTTTCCTTCTGTACTATTGTTTGGACAATACACAAGAAAGTGTATTTCATCTTCTATACCTTGTTTAGGTCGCAGATTTTGCATAATCTCTGGTCTGCCCCACTCTATCTCCAGATTGTGTCAACTGAGTCTTAATTTAATAAGAGCTAATCTGTGATCCTTGCATTTTGCAGCTGAAACATGAAGTAGAGCCAATTTATGGAAAACAATTTATATTTCAAAATATTTAATAGCGACGTTTCTGTATAGATCCTTATATACCGTTGTTAACAAAGGCTGGCTAATCTGTGCACGGTACAGAATTGTATATGGTTGGTGAAGGTATCAGGTTATAATATAAGTATAATTAAGAAATAGTAATTTAATCTGCCTCACGCACGCATGCACCCCAATACACACCCAGGACTACTTAATGTAAATGACATAAGGGTTTCAACAATATAGTTTAATTTTCTCACTCTAACGTATGAAGACCCTATAGATTCATATTCATAAGTGAGTATCAATAATGAATATACATTGTGGAAACTACATGTTTTTACAGCTTCAAATTGTGTACAAGTAACCTCTAGTCAAGGCGTAATGGTGTTTTAATGCACTCATCACCTCCCGCTTCTTCTGTTACACAGTATATCAGCGTCACAAAACAACATCGTTATACCTTTCGCTCGTACAACAATTTTTCAAAACTCCCTTTTCCCCAATTACTTTACGTTCCTGGAACTCTCTTTATGTAGTAAAAGAAATAACATCTGTGTCACAATTACAACATGTCATACAACTGAAACCAACAAAAGTCCCTTACTACTTCGACTGTGGTGAAATAACTGTTAACATACTACATGCAAGACTCCAACATACCTGTCGTAACATCAATACTGATTTATACACAGTAAACATACTGATTTATACACAGTAAACATACTGATTTATACACAGTAAACATACTGATTTATACACAGTAAACATACTGATTTATACACAGTTAACATACTGATTTATACACAGAAAACATACTGATTTATACACAGAAAACATACTGATTTATACACAGTTAACATACTGATTTATACACAGAAAACATATCTGGTCAAACCTTATGCTCTTGTAATTTTCCTTGAATTTACAAATGACATTATATAGACACACTTTGTCTAAAGAAATGTAAAATAAAATTAATTCTTCTACGTTTAGAAATAATATACTTTTCAGTGAAAAGGAATCATCTTATGAATTTAGTCTGTTAAGAAATACATGAATAGCAATCAGAAGATCCTAATAATACTTCTTGTACTGTTATTACAGAGTAGAACAGATATGTTTCTGATGTGTTTGGTACAGTTTGTCCACAGTTATCAAATAATTAGTAATTTAGCATATTTATTACATGTCATCCTCTTTAGCTAAATTATCAATGCTGTCAATTTGTAAATATTAGTTGCGCTGCACATCACACAAACAAACACACACACACACACACACACACACACACACACACACAGAGACACACACACACACACACACACACACACACACACACATCCTACTGTGTTTTGGCAATATAATAAGTCTTAAAATAAAAAAACGATGCATTATATACACACCCCCCCCCCCCCCCCCCCCCCACACACACACACACCCATTAGTCTGCTGAACATAATGAGGAACGAAATAACGGGAGATGTCATGTAAAAGCTGGAATTAATTTAACACTTTGAACTTGAAAACATTTCAGCCCATATATAGACATGCAGATAGTACGCTTTAAATCTTCAAAGAAGAAAATATGTGGGAATATATAGGACACTCGCCTTATTCTTAAATAACAGTTTGTTTTGATGTAATAATTTGCGATGCTAATCAGGTGAGTAGTTTTTCACGTAAAGTCTGTTATTCCCAGTATTTCAAAGGATTTAAAATTTAGTTTCATCGCTATGCATGATTGCGTAACGCCGAGGGTCTGGACTTAGCAGGAGCACGCCCTGCACGCCGAGTGTACCAGACACCCCGCCGGCGGCAGCAGATGCCGACTCGGCTGTTTATGTTCACGTCTCCCGCTGCGCACTGGCCTCGGGGCGTGGATAGCTATCTGGTTTCAGCTGTCATCGCAATCTAATCATGTG